GTTTCTCTTAGGAAAACAAATCTGCATGAAGCGACTATTCAAATCGACCCAGCATTTGTCTGCCCACTCACCTGGCCTTTGCATAACCGAGATCCTAGGAACTCTGACTTAGATGACTTCTCTGAGCCACACAAGCTGCTCCCGGCGGCCCTGCCTCAAGAAAGCCTGAGGTTTTCATGGGGACGTTGTTTAATTTGAGGGTCATCTACAGGTGTACAGACAAAAAGTTCTGTTTGTAAGCGTGGGCTTCCTAGTTCGAAATCCTCCCAGAGCTTAGTTTATTTGGAGGAAAGGGAAGCAGGTGTATTTGTGAGTTTCACAGAGAACACTGAACAATGACTCACAGCCTCTCCTTTTGTAAGTTTTGATCAGCTCCAATCCACGAAGTGGACAATGTGGTTGCACAAAAAATTAGCTGGCATGCTCTGCTACAACTGTGGAGGGCTTCACCACCTCTTGTCGACTCCTGTGTGAAATCCCAACATGGTCAGCTCTTCATGCTTAAGGCCCGGTTAACCTCAAACCAGGAAAAGGAACTTGGTTTGAATGAGGATGGTTTAGTTTTGTTTGTTTGTTTTTTTGAGACAGGGTCTCACTATGTAGTAGAGACTGACCTGGAACTCACATGTAGCCCAGGCTGGTCTCGAACTCACAGGGATCCTCCTGCCTCAGACTCGCAAGTGCTGGGATTATAGGCATGCACCACCACACCTGGCTGAATGAGGATGGTTTAAGGTGCTTTTTGGGTTGCTGGGGATTTAGCTCAGTGGCACCTTGCCTGCCTCACAAGAACAAGGTTGTGAGTTCGATCCCGGTACCATAAAACATTTTTTAAATGTGCTTTCTTCTCACAGTCACTTTTTATCTCTCTCTCTCTTTTCTTTTTTTTTTTTTTTGAGACAGGGTCTCACTATGTAGTTGAGACTGACATGGAACTCACTGTGTAGCCCAGGCTGGTCTCGAACTCACAGCAATCCTCCTGCCTCAGCCTCCTCACTGTGTAGCCCAGGCTGGTCTCGAACTCACAGCAATCCTCCTGCCTCAGCCTCCTGAGTGCTGGGATTATAGGTGTGCACCACCACGCCCGGCTCACTCTCTCTTTTCAATGACCCTTACTAACAATCTCTTTTCTTAAAAACATTGCTTTTTTTTGATACAGGGTCTCTCTCTGTGTGTGCTCTAGGCTCCTCTCATTTAGCTCAGGCTGATCTTGAACTCTTGTGGTGATCCTCCTGCCTCAGCCTCTGAGTACTGGGATTAACAGGTGTGCCACCATTTTCCCCTGCCTAATCGGCATTTTTTTTTTTTTTTTTTTGGTACTGGGGATTGAACTCAGGACCTTGTGTTTGCCAGGCAGGCAGCAGCACCACTGAGCTAAAATCCCAGCCCCTTAATCGGCATCTTTTCCTCTGTGGGTAAAGGTAAAACTAAGGGAATTGTAAAAGAATGTTTTTAAAGTATCTACCTTGACTAAGGAAAGAGTATTCAAAATCAGTCTTAGTTTGTGTTACCTAAGAACAGTATAGTATCACATGACAATAGGCTCAAACATATTTGTTAAATGGTTTTTTTCTTGTTGTACTGGGGATTGTACCTACAGTATTTTCAGTGAGTTATATCTCCAGCCATCATCATCATCATCATTTTAAATTTTGAGACAGGGTCTTACTAAGTTGCCCAGGTTGGGTTCAAACATCTGATTCTCCTGCCTCAGCCTCCCAGAGTGGTGGGAATACAGATAGGCATCACCATGCCCCCCTTATTGAATGAATTTTTGAATGAACCACATAGTTCATATGTTAATATTTGCTAGAAAGGGCTGGGGATGTGGCTCAGTGGTGCCTTGCCTGCTTTGTGAGCGCAAGGTCCTGAGTTCAGTCCCTGGTACCAGCAAAAAAGAGAGAGAGAGAAAAAAATTTGCTATTAAGAAAATTTGGAAAAGGTTAAAGGTGTAGGCTCTGAGTCAAACAGTAGTCAAGGCATTATTTCCACTCATTATTTTCAAGACCTTTCTGGGGTGTAATTTTCTTATCTAGGAACAGTGTTTATTATATAGAGGTAGTGTGAGAAGGGAGGTAACCATGGACTGAAGGTACTTAGCACGGGGAGGGCACAGAGCATGTTTATGAACATGAGTACTTATTCCCAGTGCCTATTAGACCCCTGGAATCTGAGCTCCCAAAAGGCAAAGGCTCAGATTCCTCCCCAAGGGCTCAGTGAGTGAACACAACTTGACAATTTCCTTTTTCTCTGCTGCAGCACAGAATCTAGTCAGTGTGTATA